CCTGGTCTCCCCCCTGCCAGGGAGGGCAGTGTGTGGGGTGAGCTGAGGGCACCCTGGCCACAGGCCTCTGCCTGGCGCACTCCCCAGGAGGGTGGGGACTTCAACCCCTGCCCTGATATTACAACCGGAGCCCTTGCCCTCTGCCTGGACCCACACCCTGCCCCACAGCATGGAGAGACACGGCCTTCCCCATGGCCGCCGGGGGCGCGCCGCTGAGCGTTGTGGTTCCACCTCTGAGCTTGTGTCGAAACTAAATAGTCTCTACAACTTGATTTGCTGCTAATCGAAATAATGTAAGAGAATCGACATTAATTTATTTTATATATGTATGTATATGTACACATGCGCATACACACGCTTGTACACATGCACAAACGTGTACACGCATACACACACTTGTACACATGCACACATGCATACACACTTGTACCCATGCACACAAGCGTGCGTGCACACACGTGTGCACAGACATGCACACACATACACACCCTTGTACATATGCACACCTGTAACACGCACATACACACACACACACACACACACGTGCGCGCACACGCACACACTGTCCTGGTGTTGCTGACCCTGCGGCTCGTGCTTTCCGGGGGCCAGCCCCACAGCCCATGCCGGAGCTGGGAGGCTGTGCGGGCTGTGGAGCCAGACTGGAGAGAGGGGGCAGGGTGCCCCAGTTTCGCCCCTTTGGACGGGTCTTGTCCACCTCGGTGACCTGGATCCCATCAGCTGTCAGCCCAGCCCTGCCCACGTGCCATGTCCCGGGCCCCTCTCCACTGGGCACTCCCTGGGACCTCTCCTGCCCTGCCCAGCTGGCTCCCAGCCCTGGGGGGCAGCAGGTAAACTGGCTCCCGCCTGGGGGCAGAGCCACAGCCAGGCTGCTGGGGTTCCCGCTGCCGAGTTGCTGCCCAGCTGGGCGGCCGGAGCCCAGGGGCATCAAGGCAGGTCTCTCCCCACCCCGTTGCCTGGGGCCGCGGGCCAGACCCGGAGCTCCTGGTCGCTGGGCTCACGCCCCGTGGGGCAGACCAGCCCTGGGGGCAGGCTGGGGGTGCACATGCAGGACTGCTCCCCATAGAGCAGCCGGCGGGTTCTGTCCTGGGGGGCAGGGAACGCCCTGGCAGCAGAAGAATGGGGGGCTTGGACCCCTAACTAGGAGCACAGCCTGCGGCGTGGTAGGGCCCAGACACCCAGGGGAGGGGCTCCAAGTAATGCTGCAGCGCCGTGGGGCCCTGCTGCCCAGCCTCGCCATTGCCCTCGGGCAGCTGAGCATCGCAGCGAGCGGCCTTTTTGGGCACCCTGGGCTGGCAGGGGAAGCT